GCAAATTCATATCAGGTTTTATAATTTAATATCTAATATCTGTTTTTTCACCACTTGGAAGGGGTGACACACAAACTCAATGCCTTTGCGTTACTTTGACTTAGTTTATTAAGTTTATTGCTCAACAAACATTTAAAAAGATTCATGTATAGCCAGTGCAGTGATATCTAATATCTGTTCCGACAATGACAAAGTAATAATAATAAAAGAATAATATACATGCTTCTTGGTTGGATTATTGTTTCAAATTCTTCTCACAGAAGAAAGAAATCCATTTAATTTGATGAATCTATTAGAACTTACACAGCACTTCCCTTCCCTGTCTGAACACATTGAACTTTCACTGTAGCTGTGCCCTAGCATCTTGTTCAGTTACACTGATCATTGACAACAATAAAGTCTACTATATATTAGTCATGAAGACAAGGATTAGTCATACAGTCTAATACCTTTGCCATTTAGCCTGTTTGATAGGGCCCTCCTCCATAATCTGTGTGCTGCACAAGTGAGCACTTGTTGGGAATGTTTCTGGCACTGCAGAAAGCATGCATTGTTGTTTCAGCACTTACAATGCCCTTCATTCCACATCTTGTGTTGTTTACAGTATTTGTTGCAGAGATATTTGAAGGACATTTGCATGAGAAAACAGGACTTGTACAGATTGTTTGTTGTTCAATAATATACTTAATAATTATTCTGCGGTTTAACAAGTGTTGCTGCGATATGCCAGCATAGCTAACTGTGATAAAAAACTCTATTATTTTAATAATACACAAATTATATTTTTGTGAGCCCGTGGTCTCGCACACAAACGTTCTTTTTTCTGCCTCTTGCAAGTGATTATTTCACCTGAGTGGCAGATGTTTGGTCTTGTTCACCTTTAGTTTACATTACCTTGAGGTGTAGTTGTTCTTTTTGCACAGTTATGGCTACAGACAGTCTCACAGGCTTCTGCAACTGTTATTTTAACTTTAATCTGTTTGCCAAAAAATGAAACAAAACACTCAATAAACAAACTAAAAGATAGCTTAGACAAGTAGCTTCTTGGAATTTCTTACAGATATTGTGATAATATCATTATCATTAACTCTTCTAACTACATACAAAAAAAACCCTTCACCCTGTGTGGTGTTTGTGATAGAGAAAAAGAGAAAATTCCTCGCATACGTAAAAAAAAAAATCAAACAAACAATGAATCGAGTAATAAAAAGAAGCCCTCTGAGACTGCAAACCTCTGCCAAGACAGCTCAGTTTGTGTGTTTTTAACTTTTAAAGGAACAATATTGTGTTTTTATTGTATTCTTTTTATTTTCTTTGTTCTTTTTAAACGTCCTTTAAGAAAAAATTAGTTAAGAGAAATCTGACAGATGTTTACTTTGATTATACATTTGCATTACATTTTAGAGAAGTAGATAATGAATAATAGGTACTGATTTGTAAATAATGGGACATGAATAACTTATTATATAATAGGATACTACAATATACTTCTAACTAACTAGGAAGCTCATTGTCTTTGTCTCAATTTTCTCTTTAAATATAAAACACATTTCTGAGGTCAGCATAAAAGAAAGGCGGATGTGAAATTTGAAAGCCAAACTATAATGTGATATTTCGAATCCCCATACACCTGAGTTATTTCCTGATTGTTGCCAATACAAACAAAGGCAGCAGAATTTTAAGTACAACTTTAAAGATACAAGACATTTTATAAAAATTTGACCTTGTAGAAGAGGTCAGAGGTCCACAATAACTTAGAATCCCCATATATTATTCCCTATATGCCTATATGTTGTCAGCACTAAGTTTTAAATAGCTCTATATAGAATTTTCTTTTACTTTGATCTTCAGCTTAGTCTGCTGATCTCGAAGATGCAACAAATGTGACACAATTTGAAATCTTTACGGTGCTTTCTATATGTTGACATCACACAGCAATTATAAGAATCATAGCTTTTAAATTATAAGACTTTTTGTCAATTCTTAACCAATTAATCATTGAGTTTCCAGTTGCACTTCTAAACAGATAAAGCCTGCGTTATTCTCATCCCATGCAACGGCTCCCTCTGCTGTAAAAGAAAGCTCTGACAGGCTGTGAAAACAGACTCTTCCTGCTAACAGATAATAAAAAATATAATAATCTGCAAATAATATGCATATAATGTGACGAGGAAAAAAGAAACCTGAGCATTAGTGTCGGATCTAGAAAGCTTCTTCCTCCTAACACCTTGCTTACTTCACAGAAGCTGGTCATGGGGTCTGTGTGCAATTTAAGGAAGGGGTGCAATTTCCCCTCAAAACACTGACAAATCGTCTGCGAGGTTCACGACGTGCTCCTCAGTCGTGGCAGTGCGGCGTAAAGCTTTTCTCCTGGACACTCTGTGTTTCCCAGATCTCTGTGTCCATACAGGTCAAACCCAGGCTGTAGAAATCCTGCGGAAACTCCAGACTGCAGCAGCTGTTTCACCGCAACGACTGCTTTTTCACTCGGCGTCTCATCTGCAATGAAAACAAGAAGTAGCTTTATCATTATATGGAGAATAATGTGCAATATCCAATGTGTGTGTGTGCTTGTTGTATTAAAATTACCCTGCTTTTATGATCTTTTCCTATGATACAAGGTGCGGTTACTAAATAAAGATTAACGTTTGTATTGCACACACAGGCCCAGCCTTATCATTTTATGTCTACACCCTGAACAACATGCTCTTGTATATGATACACACCAAATAAGGAGTGCTTACTGTTGAAATTCCCCATGAAGGCAATTCCCAGTGAGTCACTGTTGTGGTCTTTGGCATGTGCGCCCATCACACCCCAGCCACGACCCTCGAACACAGTCCCATCTCCAGCAACAAGAAAACTAAACATTGAAGAAGTACAGGTAAGCTTTGATAACAAAACCAAACATTTGCACACAGTTCTTGTGCACTAACAGAGGAACTCACTTGTATCCAATATCATCAAACTTTCTGTCTTTCATGTGGTATCTCTGAATACTGACAAGGCTGGCTTTGCACTCAGCCAGGCCTTTGCAGCTTGGGTAGGCAGTGTGGTGTATAACAACTCTTCGGGCAGGTCCTTTCAGAGCCTTGGTTTGTTTGGCAGCGGCTGCTCCCCACTCTTGCCTTGAAACAATGATCACTGAAACAGATTGAAATCAACCAAATTGATACTCAGCATTCAAAAAAGAAAATCTAATTAGTAAACCAGAAACCATCCTTAGTGCAAAGCTGTCTGTTTCCATACCTTGTCGGTCCATGGCGTCCCACAAAGCAGACTAACTCATGGCAAGTAGTGCAGCTCCTTTATCAAAGAGCCTGTTTCAAGGGGTGTGGTTTTGGGAAGTACACCTATTATGTACTTAATAAGCACGAGTTATTTTCCCACTAGTTTTACCAGCCGAGCAATAATTTACAGTTGCCCAACAAGATGTCTGGAATATACGTGCTTAAAAAAGAAGGAAGTACAACACAGTATTTCCTGAATGTTGCACAGCTAGAGAAAACCTCTGATTTTTCACACGCATAACTACTAACTAACATTACAAAATCAGTAGCACGGAGGAAAAAAGACAAGCCGTGTCATGATCTTCAAATTTAGGAGTAGTCTGAAAACTGAGAAAGTCGATGAAGTGTCACTGGTGCTTTAAGAAACTGACTTGACTCATCAAAAATTACTCCCGTTTACTTGTTAATGTAATGTATTAGATGCATTTCCCAGTTGGACTGAGAGCAGACCTGTAGCTACAGCTCGGGTCTGAAGTTTGTATCCACTCATTGCAAATTACCCTCTAAATCCAAAACTTGCCATGAATTTCAGGGGAATTTTGGGGATTTGAATGACTTCTTTGGACTGTTCTTTTTCCAGGGTGGAATGATTGTACAGCATTTATCTTTAATTACTTTAAAACAACAACAGAAACCTAGGATTTCTGTCAACAAGACTGTGAACAGAAATCATAGGTTTTCATCGCTACCAAAGATGAACACACTTGATACACACACACACACACACATATATAACATAATGGGTAAAACCACATGGAGTTTGTAACCAAATAACAAGACGTGTAGATTACATTATCAAATTCTTATTAAAGTTGCCAACTGTACATTTATTTGGCTCATCTCTGCTGCGAATATGTTCAGCATTAAGCGAATGAGTCAGCTACAGTCTCAAGACATTTTGTGAATATTGGGGATGTGCACTGGTTACATGTGATTTGTGGTCTAAATTTTCAGCTGTTGTGACTCAAAGGAAAACACACAACCAGTCTTGTGTTTCATGGTTTTAACCCCCACTAATCATAAACAGTCCAGGCTGGAAACAGGAAGTGAATATCTATACCGACTTCTCTACTTGGAAGTCAGTTGGTTTGATTTGAAGGTGAGCTTGTGTGGGAGTTGGCGAGGTTTCCCGGCCTATAGTTAAAAATATTTAGGAGCATTATCTGATCACTGATTCTTGCTATTCTCAAAAAACCAGAAATACTGATTGAGTGACTCAGACCAAATCAGGAGTAATTCATTAAAAACAAACAAACAAACTCTAATAACTCTTTTATATTAACTGTTGTATCCTGGTTTTACATTTATGTGTTACTTAGTCTTGATATAACCTTAATTATGTAACAAAATAACTATTATTATACAAAAGATTCTCAAAATGTAGCCAGGGTGTCACTCAGAGATGGAGTGCATGAAGAGTTTCACAATTATTAAGACTCAAGAGATATTTGAAAACATGTTTTAATCTAACAATACACATTTGAAAATGACAAGCGCTATAAAAAAAAAGAACAACAGCAAAACTGATGACATTATATTCACAACATGGTGACAGATATGAGTGTCCATACAACAATAACAGAGGGCTCAGCAATGCTGCTATTTTATAAAGCCAAATGCATTCACTGTAAACACAGACCCAGATTGATACTGTACGAGTGCTGACAGCAACAGCATAGAAGCAAGTGCTAAACCTCTTTATTATCAGAAGGCTTCACTCTGTCCACCGGTGTCCACAGTGAGGCGCCGTGCACACGTAGTACAGTCGCATAGCATCCTGTGTGGGGAAACACACAAAAATGTGTCAGTCAAAACAAACGATTTTAATAAATACCTCTCTCAAATATATATTCTGGATTAATAATGGGGTGCCTTCTGAAAAGCAGGGGCTAAGAAGAATGTATTCGCTTTGTATTTTTGACATGGGGAAAGATTTTTTTATATATATATATATATATCAGCTTGTGCAGATATAGAGAAAGCGCATAGGTTGCAATTACCTCAGCCTTCATACTGTGAGACTGGAAGAACACCGCCTCCTTGTGACCACATCTGAGAAGAGAAACGGTGAAAGAAAAGTGTTACCACCATCAGAGCCACAACATCTCATTCCACAGTCCATTAAAGTTGAAATGGCTTGTGGAAACCTACAATGATCACCAACAGTTTATTTCAGGGCAGGCTGAACCTTTATCCAGATTTCCTCTGTCTACGGTGACCGTCTAAATAACTACTTGATATGTTGTTAGTGTGCCTCAAGGAGACATAAAGTAATTATAAAATGTAGACACACGAGAGCAGGGATGTGGTTAAATATAATGCTTTTACGCTGAGACCCCAGTGATGTAATCTACGCTCCATCCGTTTTGCATGACCATACGCTCAGTTAGTCTCACTGATTGATGACTATGTGCACCAATCAGTTTCAAGACATGCAGATTAAACAACGCTCTGCTGCTTAAATAAGGAAGTATGCTGTGTCAGTAATTATTGACTCTGCACTTATTTTTAGAATTACACATTTCACTTGCTACTTAAAAAGTGTATGGGTAACAATGCAGTTTTACAAATCATGATGCCTTTTAATAAATATTTTGCAGTGAAAGCACTCAGGAATGACAGATCTTTAAAAAAAACACAAACAACAACAAAACATAATTACTCCAAAATTGGACAAGCATTTTTGCAGCCAGGTGGTCAATTATACAGTCAGAACTAAAGTGGAAGATCATGAGATTATTATCATGAATGTAAATACAGAGGTTCCACAAAATGGTCTAAACCTCTGATTACACTCAAAAAGCAAAAAGCCAGATTAGATTTTGCCACACGCTCTAAAAGAGCCCACTCACATCAGGGAAAAAAATATCTGGACACATGAAACCAAAATGAATTTGTACCAGAATGACGGGAAGAGAAAAGTAGTAGCTCATGACCTGAAGTATATCACATTATTTGTCAAACATGGTGGTGGAGGCAGTGTTATGGCATGGGCATGTAAAGCTGCTAGTGGAACTGGATCACTGCAATTTATTGATTAAGCAAACAAGGCTATAGTCTCTGCTCGGATTCAGCTGAATCCTGAAAAACTGAGTGGACAGCACTTCACAACGGAAGAGGATAATGACCCAAAATACCCTTAAAAACATCAACAGGAGGTGAAGCATGGGCGCTGAGGGAGGTCAGTAGGTATGGTAAAACTTACTTAGGGCAGGGGTGGTCTTCTGTTCTTGGCAGTGTTGGGTCCTGAGATACATCAGCGATGATTTGTGTGAGTTCACTGGGAAAAAAATGAAAGCATGAGGTTTAGAGCTCATCGACTGACATGACCTATGAATGCAATCTAAAATTCTAGTACTGTGTGCACTACAAAAGGAAGCCCACATGCAAAAAATGCTAATGTTTTTTCCTAAAGATTAGCCATTCAGTAGTGGCGCAACGGATCAAAAATCTCACGGTTCGGATCGGATCACGGTTTTAAAGTCACGGATCGGATCAATTTTCGGATCAGCAAAAATAGAAAAAAAAGACAAAAATTCTACTCGCCGTTTACTTATTTAAACATATTTTCCCTATTAAAAAACATTCAACTGAAGACTCATTCCACGCACTTATATAAAAACAAATTAAGGTGCAATATGGACATTATGGACCATGCTGGGCAGCCTCTGCATCCTCTGCACACAGCCATAAACAACCAGAGGAGTCGGTTCAGTAACAGGTTGCTTCTCCCAAAGTCAAGGACCAGCAGACTTAAAAAGTCCTTTGTCCCACACGCCAACAAACTGTTTAACTCCTCGCTGGAGGGGAAATGGGGACAGAGGAGGGGGGAACAAGTAGCTGTAGTGCCTTTACACTGTGCAATAGTTTTTGTTAATATCCAACAGTGTAATAGACTCACAATACTTAAAATGTGCCGTTCCCTTGTATTCTAATTCCTATTTATCCCTTTTGTATTCTCTGTATTTATAAATGTGTATATATGGTATATTTCTGCTCACATTCTGCAACTTCTGTTGGTGCTGTGCTACTGGAAACTGAATTTCCCGGAGGAACCCATCCGAGGGATAAATAAAGTTTCATCTAATCTAATGTAATCTATAGGGCAGTACAGGGCTTTGTATCTACCACTCCGCTGTGATATAACGAGCGGTCACGGTCACGTGGCTTTCCGTTGCCCTGGAGCTCCACCCATTTGTAGTTAGAGCAACAGAAGATGCCTGGGACAGTTCAGCCATAACTTTAAACTTCTCCTGCTCATACATGCTTGGAACGATCTTGTCACTGAAGTGGACGCGCAACGAGAAATCATAGCGTGGCTCAAGCACGTTCATCACAGTTTAAACCCCTTGTTTTGCACAACAGACGACGGCCTCCCGTCTGCAGCTAAAAACCCCATTAGCGTTAGTAATAGCTTTAGCCCGGTCGGACTGGGCAGCAAAGGGCTGCTTAAATGCCACAAACTCCTCCGCTCCGCTACTTGGACCGCTAGCGCTGGCCATAACTACCGCTTGACAGACTGACCATGCGCACCATACACATACTTTTTTTTTTCTTTTTCGAATCTTCGGATCACGTGCGTACCGAACCGTGGAGTGGGATCGGTTCGGATTTCGGATCAACCGTGATCCGTTGCACCACTACCATTCAGTATGTGTGAGTACACATAAAAACACTGCTTTGTACTGTCTGAAATTGTACACAGAAAATCTTTTGTACATATTTGGAGAAATCAATCAAATCTGTGTGGCTGAATGGGTCTACACAGCGCATTTAACCCTAGATGTCATAACAGTTTTGGTTGCTTTCAGAAGTGCTGCAGTGATTGAATAGAAAGTTATCGCCCACTTTAATGTGTGACTCAGTCTGCAATGGAAAATGACGAATTATTCAAATTGAGGAAATAAAACATTTGCTAATTTATGTTGTATTGTGGTTACTTACTCAACCTCATGGGTGATTTTATTGACGTAGATACAGCTGTTGTCTGCCTCTTGTTGGTAGTCACAGTTTCTGCACTGTTTGAGATCAAGATATTTTTTTTGTTAAAGAGCAGGACATTCAGTACAATAATTACAGACTTATTGTGGTACTCTTCTTGTATCACAACAATCTTCCTTTAAACTCTTCCATTACATATGGTTTTACAACGTTTTATACAATACATTACAATAAAATGTATGTCTTAAATCAGAGGTCGTTTGGAGTCGTTTATTATCGGGCCGCAAGAGTTGAGGCTCGGGTGTGAAATTTAGAGTTTTCAGGATTTTTATCGTTAACTTGGTTTCCCCAGATCTTTTCCCGTGTTGTAGTTGTGTGTCTTATTTTGAAAGCAATATTTACACGTTACCATAGCGAACAGAGAGCATTAAGGGGCAGAGAGGAGGACGTTACTCTCAATGTTGTTGGCCCATTTCTGGAGGACGCTGCTAATGAAGTTACACAATTACACAGTAAATCTGCATTTATTATTATATTTCCAAAATAACCCAGCTTTTGTGTCATTTTATTTGTTGTATTTATCCGCAACACCTTAAAGGCCAATCTGTGAAAA